GCTGTTCTTTTGACGTCTGCACGACTTCGTGTGCTGCAGAGAACAAGAGGGATTGGAACCGACTCTCTTGAGGTTCCGTATTTTTCAGGCAACCTTCCCTGCAGTCCTGACGTATGGTCTAGACGCCTTCACTTTAGATGAAAAAGCAATGCAGAGAATCGACGGGTTCTACTATCAGTTCCTCCGCAGGACAGTCAAAATTCCCGCGTCATATATTTCGAGGATTCCCAATAGGGTGGTTTACGCCAAAGCCAAGAGATCACAACTTTTCTCGGAAGCCTTAAGAAACCTAGTTCAAGCTCCCAACTGACGCTTTCGTTGCCCCCATAACGGATCCCATAACGCGGTTTTCTCAGCAGCGCTCAGGGATAGGATCGTTACCAGGGGTCGAAGAAGAGGCAGGGGATCAGGATGGTTGGAGGTGACTACTAAGAGAGAGTTTCTAGATGTCCTCCTAATGTCCTGTTAGCGTCTTCGTAGGAGGCGTGGGATTTCGTGACTGGGACAGTGACGTACCGCTAGATTCCCCCACCACCAGTACATAAGCATAAAGCGAAAGTTTGGCTGTCTTCCTTTTGGGCAAGCGCCAAAGTGCGCCAGACAGTCGTGCACACGGCACTAGCAAAATCAAGACCTCTCATTTCATTAACGGCGATTCAAACGCTCGTCTACGCGCAAAGGGCATGCCGCCTAGAATGACCCAAACTGGATTTTATTTACTTGCCGGTGAAGGGTCATGCTCCTGCTGTCGCGCATGCACGGGGGATCGCTGTGGTGCGTGAACGTAGTTCGGCTATGCCTTCTCGTTGCAGCCGTTTCGTGAGGTCGCTGTGCTCGCACTCTGGCACTCTCTGGCCGAGCAGCTCGCGCATGGCTAATGCGCAGGACTCGTCGTATGCGGAAGGCGGAGACGACGGACGGTCACAACGGTCGGAAAGAAGGTGCGAAGACGAGACAGTGCCCAGTGCCGCCAGCATGTGTTCACACATTGATAAACGCTGGAATTTACGATGGATCGCGTGCAGATGGAGGAGGCGGCCGCAGATTTGTCGGGAGCAGCGGAACCACAGTGTGGGGCTTCCTCCCACAGCCCGACACAGGAGGCACATGCAAGCCCAAGCGAAACAAATTCGTTTTGCAACCCGGCAACCAAACCATTTAGCGACTGGGTTGCTGCTCAGTTTGATGTCATCCAGCACGGCACGGTGATTATATTGCAAACAGAAGCATTTCGGTGGGTGCATCTTGGCATTCTGACAATGCCATGCGGTTGCGGTACGGGAGCTTTATCCTGAATCCTGAGGTCTGGGCTTGTGTCCGGACGAGCTTCCCTCGACTGACCTGACCCTAAGATATCCTAAGCGACCATGCAGATTTTGTTTCGTGTAAGTCAACTGGGCAGAGGGAAACAAACGATGTGTTTTCGTTAATGCCGCTAGTGGTTGTGCGAAAACAAGTTGATTCAGCAACCGTGGACGCTGGAAGGAGATGTGGCAGAAGCACAGACAGCTCGGAAATCCATGTCAAAGGCTCTTGCTGCCACGTTTCGTGAAAGAACCTATCTCGGCTCGAATTCGGCACGTCGACAGGGTTTGCATGCTGCCATGTCTTCCAGTCAGGACGAGGCATGATTGCATGTGTGATTGTGCAAGTTTTGGCCTACCAGGGGTTGTGCGAGTGGCTGCAACATGCTTGTCGGTTCAGGCGACGGACGTTTTCGCAATGCTGTTGCAAGACAAGCTGGACAAACAGATTAATGAGCTTGTCAAGCGCCTGCACGGTGTGTTCTCTCAAGAGTTGGACGTCGGCCTGGAACAATTGTGGGATCGCTTGCAGCACCTGCACTCGTTCAGACCAGGCAGTACATGCGTTTCGGAAAAGTCCGAAAGTTCCACAAGCTCTGATGCGGTCCACGTCGGCAGCACGGAAGATTTCGCCAGTTTTGCGGCTCCTCATTGTGTTCTTGAGCCCGCCAGCAACATGCAGGACGATGTGTTTCCTGGCGCGCGCGAACCAGTGGAATCCCAAGCTGTTTCTGGGGAAGGCCCATCATCCATTCTCGAAGTTCCCAAGCTGCGTCGACGAAGCACGATCTGCGGAGACCCAGGAAGGACAGCCCAAGTTGGGGCAGCAGAGATTCGACACAGTCTTTTGCATTCCGTAGCTGAGCTTGACGTACCAGATGGGAGTCATCAAACGTTTCGGCAATCGGTCCTGGCGATGCTGGCATCACCTGCTTCGATGCAGACAGATAGCTGGGAAGTGGAACATGAACACCGCACTCGTTTCATGAGCATGCGAATCAGTTTGCAGCGGAAGATTGTCGAAACAACATGGTTTGAAGGTTTCGTGGTGTGCTGCATTGGCCTGAACACGATCATGATTGGAGCCGCCAGTGATTGGAACCTCAGGCACATAAGCCAGGAAGAGCCCAAACATTTTCGAATAGCAGAAAGACTCTTCGCGGGAATTTTCGCCTTCGAACTTCTCGTGCGAGTGGCTGCATACGGCCCAGCCTTCTTCTGGCGAATGGCTTCATGTTTCAACTTCAGAAAGATTTGGTGATATTTGATGCCGTTGGTTGTTTATTTTGTTTTGATGAACACTTCAAAACAGATCTCATCATCGACTCGAGTGGTTTGCTTTGCAGACGTAAGGACTGGCAGTGGAATTATTTTGACGTGGTGATTGTCAGTGTGCAAGTTTTTGAAGAAGTATCCACTCTTCTAGGGGAGGAGCATCAGGGAGAAATCCAGCTCAGCACATCGTCAAGTGCAATCCGAATAATACGGACGCAGCTTGGTGAATTGTTCAGTCAGCCTGTTGTGGCGCCGTGCCATTTTGCTGTGGTGGCTTCGAGGTTCCGGCTGTTGCGGATCCTGCGAATCGTTCGGCTGCTGCGCTTCATCCAGGCTCTTCTCCGGCTGCGGAACACCGAAGAACCATAGAACTGTTGACAGCAGAGGAGCTTCGATCCATGCTGTTCTCGATTTTTTCTACTCTTCGAGCCCTTGGATGGACTATGGTGTGCCGTGGCTTCACTCTTGCGTTGTTACCCAGTTGTCTTGCACAGCCGCAGCTTGCCTTCGAGGCTTCTGGCCATGATCATATTCGCGGCGGCAGTTTTCTTCGCACAGTGGCGTGCTTAGATTATTTTGGCTCAGCTCACCATACCATGTTGTCTGGACGTTGTGGTGCAGCTGACCGGAAGGTTCATCATTGACGCTGGGGCTCTGAACAAGGAGCTCATGCTGCAGCACCCCGAACTGCAGTTCTACTTCTCGGACTTATCTCGCCCCTTGCCGGAAACTTTCGTCGTTGCTTCTTCGGAGCTATTCCGCTGGATATCGGTAGGCAAGGTCCACAAAAAGGCTTCCGCATTTCTGAAAAAGGCTGACTTATTGGCTTCCACAAGGTCATTTTGGATCTTCGAGATTTCCCACTAGCGGTGAGTGAAGCTGAGGCACGATGCTGTCTTTGTACCAGTCGATGACG